TTAGACGTAGATATTCTCACAAGAATTCTGACAGCTTGAGATATTAGCTCACCAGCTATCCAGGCCATAAATGCGTCTCCACGGCCAGAAGCTCAGAACCCACGATCAAGAGCGGCGGCCGAGATTCACCAGGATTTATGGGATCACACCACCATACTTCACGATCCCAGATGTCGATTGGACTGCCCACTTGCTCTAATCAGGCTCCACCATGCAGATTTTCAGCATCGATTACTCTTCCAGGAACTCTTCCTATAAATACAAGGCTCGAGCTACATTCAAAAGGTTCAACACCAAACCAAAGCCTCCCACGGAGCAACTTATTTTTTCCTGTAATGCACTTTCAATATCTTTATTTGCTTTCCTATGAGTAGTGTCAGATTGTAAGGAAAATCCATTCATCAATATATCATACGACCCTTGATTTTCAAGGCGCCGGAGCACCATCTTTGTTATTCGTTCATTCACCCCATATATCATACGATCGTCGCTCTCTGAGCAGCGCGCCGGAGCACTGCCCAAAACCCACCATCAACACCATCACTCAACGGCCTTATAGTTCAGGCCGTGAACCTAACAGCCGAGACCAGTTCCTCTCTCGGCTACAATCGTTTGATTAGAAGACGAGTTCAAACAGGCGCATCACTTATCCATCCAACACTCATCAACACCTCGACGCACGGTAGACCGTGCTGGCACGCCTGCGCACAAACGCACCGCACCCAAAAGCAGGAAACCGCGTGTCAACGCACATCCCCTCGGCCCGGAACCCCAGGCCTCGGCCCGGAACTCCAGGCCGTGAGATTTGCGCGGCAGACATAATTAAAAATTAATTTAGGTTCGGATTTTTACAATCTACCCCTCTTATAAAAATTTCATCCTTGAAATTTCCATACCTGTCACTTGAAGAGATAAGGGTACTGATCCCGCATTTGGTCCTCAGGTTCCCAAGTGGCCTCTTCCACAGTATGACTCCTCCACAAGACTTTCACAAGTGGAATCTCTCTAGAACGTAGTACCTGCGTCTTCCAATCCAAAATCTGAACGGGTTGCTCCACATAACTCAAATCATCCTCCAATTCTACTGGTTGCTCCTCCAGAACATGAAAAGGATCAGCAATATACTTCCAAAGTGTGGAGACGTGAAATACATCATGTAACTGGGAAAGGTCTGAAGGCAAAGCAAGCCTGTAAGCTACTGGGCCCACTTGTTCCAAAATCTCATGTGGCCCAATGTAACGAGGACTTAACTTCCTCTGTTTTCCAAATCTTACCACACCTTTCCAAGGTGACAACTTTAAGAACACCCAATCACCAACCTCAAACTGAAGATCTTTTCTTCTATTGTCGGCATAACTCTTTTGTCGATCCTGGGCCGCCTTAAGTCTTTCTCTGATCAGTTCCACTTGTTTCTTCGTCGCCTTAATATCCTCAGATACTTCTATTCTTTGCTCACCTACTTCATTCCAATACAATGGAGTCCTGCACTGTCTTCCATACAAGGCATCATATGGTGACATTCCAATACTTGCCTGGTAACTGTTGTTATACGCAAACTCCATGAGCGGTAGTTTATCATCCCAGTCTCCTCGAAACTGTAATGCACAAGCTCTTAGCATATCTTCCAAGGTTTGAATTGTTCTTTCTGACTGTCCATCAGTTTGGGGATGGAATGCAGTACTGAACTCCAACTGAGTCCCAAAAGCTTCATGTAACTTTGTCCAAAAACGGGATGTAAACCGAGGATCTCTGTCTGACACAATTGACACTGGTACCCCATGCAGTCTTACTATCTCATCTATGAAAATCTTAGCCAATTTGTTCAAAGCATAAGTCGCTTTCCCCAGCAGAAAATGCGCAGACTTGGTGAGTCGATCCTGAATTACCCAAACTCCATCATGCTTGGTCTGTGTCCGAGGAAGTTTGAACACGAAATCCATAGTAATTTTCTCCCACTTCCATTCAGGAATCGGAAGTGCGGGATTTCTGCCGCTCTACTTTGACTTGCTGACAAATCAAACACTTACTAACGTATTTCGCGATTTCCTTCTTCATATAAGGCCACCAGTAATGCTCTCTCAGGGTACGGTAGATTTTCGTGCTACCAGGATGCATAGCAAAAGCCGAGTAGTGGGCCTCCTCAAGAATTTCCCTATTAAGTGTTTCATCCCCAGGAACATACAGTCTCGTGCCCACAATTAAGGCTCCATCATTTCTCACCGAATAATCTGTTCTGGTACCATTCTCAACCCCCAATCTCAATGTAGAAATCATTGGATCCTGCAACTGGGCTGCAATTATTCATTCCACTAACACTGGTCTCACATAAAGAGTAACCAACAAGGCTCCCTGATCATCCGTACCTAATCCCACCCTCAATTTCCTCAACTCCACCAATAATGGAAGGTACCTCCCTCGGAAATGAGCCACGGATCCTAATGACTTCCTACTGAGAGCATCCGCTACCACATTAGCTCTCCCAGGATGATGCTCAAATTCAGTTCTTTTTGGGTGAACATATACTTCAAAATTTTATAGTCCGTGAAAATTTGACACGTTTCCCTGTAGAGATAGTGCTACTAAATCTTTAAAGCGAACACTACAGCAGCAAGTTCAAAATCATGTGCAGGATAATTCAACTCATTCTTCTTGAGTTGCCTCGAAGCATAAGTGATTACCGTACCATGTTGCATCAACACACAACCTAATCCTTGTCGGGATGCATCACTGTAGATAAAAAAGTTCCCACTATCATCCGGGAGTGTTAATACCGGATCGGTAGTCAACCTGGTTTTGAGTTCATTAAAGCTCTCTTCACACTCATCTGACCATTCGAACTTAACTCCCTTCCTTGTCAAACGAGTGAGAAGTGTCGCTATGATAGAGAAACCTTCCACGAAGCGACGATAGTGCTCGGCTAACCCAAGGAAGCTCCGTACCTCAGTGACATTAGTTGGTCATGGCCAATTCACTACTGCCTCCACTTTCTGGGGATCCACATAAATGCCTTCTGCAAAGATCACGTGTCCCAAGAAACTCACTATGTCAAACCAAAACTGACACTTGCTGAACTTTGCATACATATGCCTCCTTCTTAAAGTTCTCAGCACAATTTCCAAATGCTTCATATGCGCCTTTTGGCTTTTCGAGTACACCAGAATGTCGTCTATGAATACAATCACAAAGCGATCTAAGTAACGTCGGAACACTCTGTTCATGAAATTCATAAATGCAGCTGGTGCATTAGTCAGCCCAAAAGGCATCACCAAAAACTCAGTGTCCATACCTCGTCCGAAAAGCAGTCTTAGGTACATCCTCTTCTCTGATCGGCAACTGATGATAGCCTGACCTCAAGTCAATCTTAGAAAACACCTTGGCACCCTTCAACTGGTCAAACAAGTCGTCAATACAAGGCAACAGATATCTATTCCGCACAGTGACCTTGTTCAATTGTCTATAGTCAATGCATAATCTCATGGTGCCATCCTTCTTCTTTACGAACAGAACGAGCGCACCCGAAGGAGAGAAACTGGGTCGGATAAAACCCTTGTCCACCAACTCTTGCAACTGAGTTTTCAACTCCCTCAATTCTGCTGGTGCCATTTTTTACTGTGCTTGAGAAATAGGATTTGTTTTTGGAACGAGCTCAATAGTGAATTTGATCTCTCGTTAAGGAGTCCAGGAAGATCTTTTGGAAACACATCCGAAAATTCTTGTACCATCGGAATATCTTCCAAACGCAATCCATTATCTCTTGTGTCAATCACATGCACCAAATATCCTAAGCATCCCTTTCTAAGTAACCGTCTCGCCCTCATGGCTTAAATGAGGCAAGACGGAAGAACTCTACGCTCACCATAAAAAGTCACCTCAAGTTGTCCGGGACTATAGAATACGACCTCCGTCCGGAAATAATCAACCGACGCGCGATGTTTGGCTAACCAATCCATGCCCAGAATGACGTCCAAATACACAATATCTAAGGGAATTAAATCCATCTCCAAGAATACATTCCGAACTAAAACCATGCTATCCCTGTACACCATACCAACCATAAAGATATCTCTTGTCGGTACAGAAATAGCGAGCTCGTCCCGTAGCGCTGTGAGTCCTACATGCGCATTATGGGCATAACTATGTTCAACAAAAGAATGCATAGCCCCGGGGTCGATCAAAACACGTGCAGGAATCCCAAAAATAGGTAACATACCTATGATGACGTCTAGGGACGCCTGTGCTTCCTACTGAGTCATGTTATATACCCTGCATGTTGCCCTGGAACGTCCACCACGTCCCCTCTGTTGACTACCACCTATGCTAGCCATACTGGTCTGGGCCCCACTACTAGACGAGGCCCCCACAACCTGTGATGTACTCTGTACCCTGCTCTGTGCACAAGTCCCCTGGGTTAGCCCAGCGGTAATTTCTCTACCCTGCAGAAGCATCGGGCACTCCCTCCGAAAATGCCCTGACTGTCCACAGTGGTAACACCCATAGGCGGCCTACTGACAAGGCCCAGTATGATGCCTGCTGCATAAAGCACATTGGGAGCAATTCCTCCCACTAAAAACTGGTTGCAGTTGTCTCCCTGAGCCTCTGGCTGTGCCACCTCCAGAATGAGATCTCGAACCACTACTTTGATTAGACCCTCAGCTGGAACTGACTCCAGCTCGAAAACCTCCATAGCTACGTCCACTGGACGATCCGGAACTGAAACTACCTCTCTTGGATGACCCCTGACTGGGACCACCCATGTCAAACTGCTGTCTACGGGAATCACCTCGTCCCCGGACCATCATCTGACTACTCTTAATCAATGAGGCAGACATCACCAAATCTCCATAGTTAACCAGACGCTATCCCACTACGATGTCCCGAATGGATGCCTTCAATTCTCTGGTGAACAGCTGACACTTCTTTCTCTCATCCGCCATTAGTGGTGTACAGTACTTGGATAGTTCATTCAATTTATTCTCATACTCTAACACCGTCATAACACCCTATTCCAACTGAAGAAACTCCTCCATCTTCATATTTTGGTAGGCTAGTGGGTTGAACTGCTCATCAAATGTCGTCCGAAACACTTGCCATGTAATGGTTGATGGATCCTGGTATCGTCTCCTCATGGATTCCCACAAATATCTTGCATTTCTAGACAAAAAGAAAGTAGCCAGCACTACTTTGCGTCCCTGTGGAACATCCATCACATCCATGATTCTTTCCATCTTTTCTATCCACTCCATGGCGGGGTCACCATCACCATCACCATCAAACTCTACTGCCTCAATTCTCCTAGCTTGATCAGCATAATTTAAAGATGGATCTCTGGAATGGCCGGTCCTGGATAAGGCCTGAGTCAATAACTCCAGTGTCTGCTGAAAGTTGGGGTCCATTTGTGGAGTAGCCATCTCTGGTACAGCCCCTGTCTGACCTCCTACATAAGACTGTTCAACTTGTTCCGGTGTTAGCCCCGAATTTGGCTCATTCTCCGGCTTAGGATGGGGATCCTGTCCCCGAAGTCGAGACGACTGTCGGGTCCCTCTACGAGTACCACCACGCTTAGGGCCCATGATTCTGTCACAAGAAACATGAATTCAATAAAACAGGAATGCACACAAGATGTGAAGTATACAGGAATTTAAACCTAATAACAAAAAAATAATTGAGCAAAATAATTATACAAACCAGAGTCTAATAGTAATTGGAAAACAATTAGATAAAATAGAGACAAAAATTGATAAAATAATCCCTCAAGAAATATCCCTTAAGTCTCAGAAAGAAAAATGACAGGACCCAACCCAAATTCCACTTTGGAATCTGAGTCGAACCCTGTGCATGTCCGACACCTAGCGGGTGCCGGGCACAAATAACCAAATTGTCCTTCTAACGAAAACTAAGTTACTTTAGGGTTTGACTTCTGCCGAAAATTTGGTAGAGTCACCCTTATAAATATACGTTACCCAAAAATTTACACCTGCATGAAAAACAATTTTTATCCCAACGTTCAGCATGCTTTAAGTTTACAAACAAGAAATCTACAACAGAATTATATGGCCTCAGGCCTTACAGAATCCTAGGGCAATTTTCAGAGCAAATCTAATCTACTTATTTACAAAAGAAGTGCGGAAATGTAATCATATCCTACATAGTGGAAAGAGAAGGAAGAGTGATGACGAATGCCCGGTGGTGGTGCTCAAGTTCACACTTACTACCTGAAGTCACAAAACATTTAAAAGTGTGAGCAGACAAAAATAAAGTTTTGTAAAATAGAATATTAACATACTAACCCCACTGTTAAAACATTTAGAAAATTCCATTATCTCTGTGTTCTATATTCGTACAAAAATTCAAGCATGGAAATTCAAGCATGCGTTCAAACAAATCATCGAAAACATTATAATAAAATAAATCTTTCCACCTAAGTGTACCCATTATATATATAATAATGATAAAATTTGACTAATGTAAAAACATAAATGGAAATTAAAATGTAAATCATGAAATTAATGCTTAACTTTGAAAATAGTGAGGTTGTAGACTTACAGAAAATCTTGACTGAAAGATCTTTTAATGATAGAAGAAGGCACTCATAACTTACAAAAGTTTTCTCAGGTTTTAGAGTCTGAGAGAACTTTGAAACTGGCTAACTTACAACCTGTTTTTCTTTTGGCTCGAGGACCTTACTTATAGAACTAGTTTACATTGGATTCCAAAGATGGAATAATGACTGAAAAAATAACTTTTGCTTGTCTGGGAATCTGCTTTTACTCTGAGGCTTTTGCTTTCAGCTACTTTCACTTTTACTTGTCGGAGAATCTACTTTCTCTTTGAAAAAATAACTTTTGCTTGTTTGGGAATCTGCTTTTACTCTGAGGCTTTTGCTTTCGGCTACTTTCACTTTTACTTGTCGGAGAATCTACTTTCTCTTTGCTTTCGGTTGCTTTTACTTTGCTTTTACTCTGGTTAGTCTTCATTCAAATCATATGGGTCTTGACTGTCGGGGTAGTCTCTTTTTGACTGGAGGTTGGGCAATGCTTTTGACTGGAGGATGAGGTATGTGATGACCCGGATTTGGGGGAAGCATCATCATCTTCCATTTGATTGGCTTGAAGCATGAGTTGCCTGGCTAATTCTTTAATTTGTGACTTGGATCTTCCTTGGATTGGGAGGGAAGAGTGGGAATTGCCGGGAGTTAGAAGCTTTGCTGGAGTCTTAAGCAGTGGAAATTCTGTGTTGACTTGATCAATAATTCTTTCTGACTTAAATTTATCCCACAATTTGATATCAAAACGACATGGCAAGACTCTGTTATCCCAATGAACTTGATAGGACCATTTTAGGATCCATGGGACTTTATATTTGGCTGTGAAAATTCGTTGACTGGGAAAGAAGGATTCTGACTCTTTGTAATTATATTTTTTAGAAAAATATTTGACTGAATCTTGTAAGGAGGTCGGGAGGATGTCAAGGGTAGGACCATGCTTTTCCCACCAATGGAGAAACCAGTAAGGGAGAGGACTCTTGAATTTACTATCGAAATTGATAAACCAGGAGTGACTAAAGTCATTTGTTTGGTGGAGGAATATGGTGTACCAAGCTTCAATATAGTCATAGTAATTATATTGAAGGGATGACTCAAGGGTTCTCAACGTGTAGGGATGTTCTCCCCAATCATTTTGACTCAGAATTTGGCGGATATACATGGAATGGAAAAATATTATGTTGGGATTATCCCGATCTTTAATTGGCATGATTTCAATTGACTGGGTTTCATTAAGGATATCTCTATAATAACTAAGAGCTTTGGATGGATGTTGAGGAATAAAATGACAATTTGGAGGGAAGTAGTGTTTTGCTATGGTGACTGGGTTGGCAATACTGTCATAGACGGGTTCAACAATAAAAAGGTGAGAATGACTTCGAAGGGAGTAGGGAGATGACTTTCTGAGGTTTATTGGAGTTTGACTTGTAATTTGGGTGCTGACTTGAAATGGATCATAACTTGAAACCAGGGCTGATTGATAATTTGGGCGGATTTGGCTGACAGTGGAGCCTAGAGTTGTGAATCTGTTACTGACTTGGATTGGAGAGCATCCCGAAAAAGGGACGATTTGGGAGGATGACTCGATTTTGACTGGATTCATTGAGGCAGGAAGGATTCTGACTGGTTTGGCTGGTTTTCTTGCTTGACCCTTTTGCTTGTCTTTTTTGTCTGCCATTGTCTTTCCTGCAAGAACTCTCGTGTGAGGAAATCAGGGATACTGTTTTCACTTCCTCTCAGATACTCAATGTCAAAATCAAATATGCTTAAAATGGCTTGCCAACGTGCAAAAATTTGTTTAGATGCAATGTTTTGAACATCCTTTTCTAAAACATGCTTTGCACTTTTACAATCAACTCTGACTAAAAAATTTTGGTTTAACAAATCATCTTGAAACTTTGAAATGCATAATACAATAGATAAAATTTCTTTCTTAATAGTACTATAATTACTTTGTGACTGTGTCCAAATACAAGAATGGAAACAGACAATTTGCTTTGTTTAACTCGGAGGGACTTTCTGTTTGAGGATACCTCCATAACCTGTTTCAGAGGCATCAGGTTCGACTATTTTGAAGGAATTGACTGAAGGAATACCAAGACAAGGAAGACCCTTGATATGGATTTTGACTTGCTTAACAATTTCAGTGTGACTGGGGGTCCAAGGAGGAGGATTACCTTGAAGTTTGTCAAATAATGGCTTACACTGTTTTATGAGATTTTGGTAAAATTTAGAAACATAATTGAGGGATCCTAAGAACCTCTGGAGTTGACTCTTATCAAGAATTTGATCTGGAAACTTATCAGCAAATTGAATGACTCGATCTATTGGACTGATTTGTGACTGACAGATATTAAATCCAAGAAATCTTACATTTGTTTTAAATAACTTGATTTTCTTAGCAAATAACTTCGCCAGTAATATTTTTAACTAAAACAAAAGACGTTTTAAAACAAATCTTACTTTGACAAACATGGGCTTGAGGTATTTCATAATTTAACTGGAGTGGTTTACCAGAAGCGGTTCCTAAGGTTTCTCTTGACTTCTTGAAATACTTAGTTGGTATTAGACCTTCTTGGATACAGTTGAGATTGGCTCCTGAATCAAAGAGGGCTACAGTTTTTAACTCAAAATCATTAATGAAAATGCTCACTCTTGAATACCATTTTCGAAAATTAATCTGTTTGATTAAATTGATAGCTTTATCTTCATCACTGTTGGTTGGTTCATTTTCAGACTCAGAATGACTTTCAGATTGACTTTTAGGGTCAGAATTTTTTTTTTCCCTTACAATAACTAAATCTTCTTTAATCTCAAAATTCTCATTTTGCAATTTATGACTTAATTGTCGTAACTCAATTATTTCTTTCTTAACAGTCTTTACTTCTAACTATAAATCTTGTAGAGTGACTTCCTTTTGCTTATTAAACCTCTCTAGGGAAGTATTTAGACTTATTTTTGGAGACTGGGTAGACTGACTGGGTTCTTCCTGGTTAATAACTTTCTTGAGTTTTCTATGATACTCAGATTTTAACTCTGAGTTTTCAACTTTACTAATTAAATCAATTAATAATTCTTCTTGTTCTTCTTGTTTGGTGAGGACACTGATTGACTTGGTTAGGACATTACATCACTTATATTTACATCCTAATTGAATTCTAGGTAAATCTGACTGGCTATAATTATCTGAACTTGGGATAGAGACATTATTTTCACTTGACTCGAAGTCTTTTAACTCTAAAACTTTAACCAATTGGGCTTTGTCTTCTTTTGAGATTTTTAACTGCTTTATCGTGTCTTTTACTTTATACTCATTAGCATAGTGACTAAATTTCTTACATTTTCAGCATTCTACTTTGCTTTTATCAGTTTTTTTACATTTACTGTTTCTATCCTGTCGGGGATCTTTTGACCATTTTCTCTTTGGGTTAAATTTCCTTTTACTATAAAACTCATCATTAGTTTTAAAGTAATGTTTTTTACGGTGGAAATAATTTCGTTTACTGTTGTGCCTATCATAACTTCAGCTTTTGGCTTTTTTGGAAGGAGGGATGGATGCTAATCCATATTGTTCGCAGAAATTTCCTAACTCATACTTGGCTGATTTTCTATCTGACTGTATTGACTTCCCAATTTTACCGACTTGATTAATTGTGCTAATTATATTGCCATACGTTAAATTATCGTAATCTATGTGACCTTGATCATTACTAAGGACTGTTCGTATTTTGTGGGCAAACAAATTAGGGAGACCATTAATGAACTTTTCTTTCCAAAAGGGTTGGTTACTATCATCTCTAAGCATGACTCTGGAAATAAAGACATCTTTATACCATTTGAAATCACTAAGTTTAGGGCATCTGAGGTTACTGAGCTGATCATGAATTCTGGTCATGGTATTACTTGGTGTTCCTATGAAATGTTCAATTATGGTGTATAATAATGTGTTGACTCCATCTTCTGTTCCTGCACCTACAAGCTCATTAAATATAGGATAGCCTTCTTCATTAAGTTCGACTGCATGAATTATATTTCTTCTTGACTCTTCCATAAGGTGTTTATCCCACCAAGAACGTAAGGTTCTGGTGAAACCTGTTTCTAATAAAGGAACAATTTCTGATTGTCTTAAATTGTGATTGGTGACATAACTATTGACTACCATAGACATATGTTGAAATTTATTAAGAATTTCTTGTTTTGATAAACCATCAATATTCCATTCCTAGAGTTTATCAGAGGAGGCTGAGAATTGACTCTTGGAATTTCTTTCCACAAATTGGATATCTGGAGGAGTTGGCTTGGGGTACCAATTTTTGACTAGATTTGTGGGATTGACTTTGTTTAGGCGCTTAATTTCAGATTATTGAAGGCTTTTTCTATTTAGATTATTATAAATAAACCCAATCCTAGACATGTATTTATAAAAAAACCCACACACTATTTAAACATAGAAACACACCCAAAATCAACCCCAAAGTCAACAATTGTATATTTTTTGGGTGTGTTTATAAATGGGTTTTGAGTGTGTGTAATGATGAGTTTTTGGTGTGTTTATAAAGTGTTTTGGGTGTTGGGTTTTTTTATAATTTCAGCCCCCATTTTGGGTGTTTTAGTGAAACTCCCTTTTCTATTTTTGAAATATTACTAGAATCAGTTTCTGTTTCAGTTTGTGACTCAGTATCCAATAAATCTGTTTGGATGACTTTGAGGGTTAAGGATGACTCTGGCTTAGGTTCTTTGGTTGGTGTTAATTGACCTAACATTTCTTCAATCTTTTCAAGCGTGGGGTTTTTCTTAATGGTTGGGCTTGCCTTTAGGTCTTGGAATTTGACTAAGGGTTTTTCTCTATGAGACTTGAGAGCAATTTCTTGGGGAATTATTTTGTCAATTTTTGTTTCTATTTTATCTAGCTGTTTTCCCATTACTATTAGACTCTGGTTTGTGTAATTATTCTGTTCTACTAATTTCTTGTCATTTGACTCTGGAAATTTAAACGGACTGGCTGTGAGCTTAGCATTTTTATGGTGAATAATTATCGTTTCGGCTGGGGGATGACTGGCTAGGACTCAGTATTATCTTCTTTTT